AGGCCCAAAAGGAGTCACAGAAACCGAATTCCTTGAAAAGAGTGTTGGAAAATATGTTTTTGATACACTTCTGAAACAGGCTGGAGCAAAACTTCATCTGGCTGATGCGCCGTTGACTCTTTTGGCAAGAAAACCCAGTTTTCCGACAAAAAAACCTCTAATAGGTCCGATAATGCCACCAAATCGACCGCACCGTGCGGGATTCAACTACATCCAGCCAGCTCCTCTAATGATGAACTTCCCTCCTGGCTTAAAGCCGCCACTCATTCAGGGATCCCAGCGGTTAAACCCGACAGTGGTAAAAAATCTTTCTCCTCACTCAACTGCAACAAGTTCAGAGTTAAAAAATACCTCAGAATCATCAAATCCAACAATCATTGTTTACATACCGCCTCCAATAATAACTTCACCGCTAGTGTCTCCAGCTTCAAAAAATTTAGAAAATCAACATGTTCAAACACTTTCTGCAGCAAGACTCCAGCCAGAACAAGTCACATTACCGTCCATAACCTTACCAACAATGAAATTGCCATCTTTGCCAATAATAAACCTTCCTACCTTTCCACCGCTAACAATGCCACCTGCTTTCGATAAACTGCTTACAACAAAATCACCGGAGGAAACAATTGTTTACAGACCCATTAGTAGATCACGAAATTCCGACGAAGAAGAATCCGAAGAAAAAGTTATTTATCGTCAGAAGAAGAGGAAAGAACAACGTCACAAGCAGACTCGACATAATAAGTACAAAGAAGTTTTGGAAGAGACTGAACCCTTACCAATGACAGATGATAATGCAGTACTGAACGAATTTTTCGAAGCAGAAAAATTCCCATCATACAGCAGTGGCAAAGAAAGAAGAATGTAAGTTTGAAAAGCGCTTTAAAATCAAAAAAACCCCAAGAAATTCACAGTATTCTAGCTTATAGTTCACGCCAAGTAGTTAGGTAGCGCATTGTTTTCTCTTTTTTGATCATTTTCAGTGTTTCAACTAATATCTTAACTGTTCTGAAATTTCCTTGCAATTATATAAAAGAAAATAACTTTTGATAGCTAAATAAGCATATTGCAGCATTGAATACGGAGAAGGCACTGACGAAAAAAAAGAGCTTCCAAAGTATGTCAATGAAACCACTGACAAGAAATCAGACGATACCCCATCGTGGATGACTTCATATAGAACCTGATAGTATCCCGCAGAACAGATTATTATTTTTCACATTGCAAATATAGTAAAACGCAGTTCTCAGAATTCTACTGGAGCAAAACTAGTAGAAAATTTTTTAAGTTTAGTGAAACATTATGTTACAAAAGTGAGGTAATGATGAACTTCTGGTAGTAACCTGGAATAATTATTTTAGAATAACTTCTCAAAAGAATAATAAAGCTAAAGTTAAATTTTTAGACCTATTTCACTCTCCAATTTGCACTCCGATGTCCAGCATTCTAAATGCATATCAGTCTACCTTTAATCACTGTTGGAAACTATTTGCTGTAGTCTTGTTATAGTGCTGTATTATGCGTGTCTACTACTAATATAATTTCCAACTTTAACGATCTCCAGTACTTAACCCCCGTTGATTTATTGTGAAGAAAATTGGAATGCTTTTCCCTACGTTTTAAATTATACTTCAGATTAATTGTTCTTCTTTCCTTGTCAGTAAAACTTCTTTGAGGCAATTCCTTTCCATTACAAATAGTGTAACGAGTTTATCAAATGCTGCATTCAGAAAGGAAATTTACTGCTAATATATAACCATCTAGAAGCCTCTCATAATTATTCTTGTTGACCATCAAATGACCGATGATACTGCGTTATGAGCTGAAAAGCGGTTTAAATATTTGTTCTTGATCGTCACTTCCTCTTTTTGACCGTCTCCTTTGCAACAGTCGATCATAATAAAGGAAACGCGCATCATTATCACCAACAAGTCTATTCAAAAACCAAGTGCATATATTTTGAAGTGATTTTTTACATTGCTTCACTCTACAATGTTGTCAAGGCAAAGCAAATGAACAACTACTATTGTTCAGTTTGGCAAAAATACGAGCAACAAATGAAAAATTATAGGTCGTTATGTCCCTCTTTGCAAGAAATTAATAAAGGAAGACAAAAAAAAGATAGAAAATGTTTACTTCCTTTGAAACAAAAATGAAATTTGACAGCTATTAATATAGACAAGTCGGATGATCCTTCTGCACTACAAATAAACCTGTTCAGGTATCATTATCAAGTCTTTAGATAACAAATCCTCTCATGAAAAGTATTAGTTATTACTAGTTTTCTTAAATTACATTGCATAGATTCATACACAGAATATCCAAAGTCACATACATAGTTTTTCTCAAAAGGTCAAAGGAGTGAGTTCAGTCCCAGGGTGCAATTTTGGCCATGGATCAAATGTAACAAGGAGAAACTTGTCATTTGGAAAACCAGTTTCTCTTACTTCTAAAGTGTCCGCCTGCCTGCAATACAAAAGTACAACAGAAGCCGACTAACTCATATATATTGACTTCTTAGGAATATGCTGTATGTACCTAAACAATTCATCACGGATAAGCCTAAACCTAGCAATTTCCAACTTGCTATTACAATCTCGAAACGCTTTCTTCGCCGCGATAACAGAATGGAATCTGGAAACTGTAGCCATTGTCTGTTTCAAGTTTCGCCACCGTCTTTTTGAACTGTTATTGCCTAAAGGAGACTTTGCCCGTTTGCACTTCTCGGTCGGCGTAAGTGTATCTGCGAGACTTCCGGGGTACTCTGATGTCTTTAAAAAACTTTTGCATAGGAAAGGTTAACTTACCGTCTGTTTGAAGTAAGATTATTTTCATATAAACATAAAAAAAGGAAGAAAAGAAATTTCAACTTTTTTTTCGTTTTCGCCTACCTTTGTTTCGTCGTCATTTACTAACTTCGCAAAGCTGCTCGCAGAATTTTTTGCGCTTATGCTCAACGGACTCCAATCCTCCTCAAATTCGTCTGTTTTCCTTCTTTTTCTAACTCTTCTTTGGAAGCCCACTTCAACGCGTTCAGAATGACAACGATTTTCTGAAGTTTCTAAACTCTTATATCTACTCCTGACAACTAAAGCTATAATCTATAAAACGTTATCTTCCTTTGTCAGAACAGTGCGGCATTCTAATAGCATAATAACTAAATGGTCCGTGAGAAAAATACATACTTAGAATTCTCCGAATATAATCAGGACTTGTTGTCTGCGCCGACGCCACCATAGTCAAAAAATGTGCTGCTCTGAGGTAATTAGTAGCTACAAATTGAAAAAAAAAATTAGTTGGAACAAAGCTAAAAATTCATAAACTGTGAAAATTTGAAAATAATTAAGAGGTCGCCATATAAAAAAAAAATGAGTGTTTCTTTGTTATCACTTTTTTAATTTAGTTGTGGTGGCTAACAGAGTCTCAATTTGGTTTGATAACAGAACCTTATTTTTACAATTATATCATGAAAAAACCTTCTTGGTTAACGCTCGAAAATCCAACCTATGATTGAAGAGTCGATTTTACAATCTATAATTGGTAAAAAAGAAGAAATAAATGAATCCCAATTTTTGATTTCTCCAACTGCCATTAGCTTATTGCGAACGCGAAATTCTCGCTCAGATGCAGCAACAATTGACGCTTCTAACGAAGAACAAAATTGTAGAATGCAGAAGTCATAATCAGGCGAGCTCCAAGGAAATCTTTTTTTAGTAAACTGATTTTCGTTTATATCCGCAAGATACCCTTCCAATTTAAGCGGCACCGTATTTTGCAGTAATGGTTGCTGTCCTTGCTGCTTACTGGAGATAGAACTATTTGTACTGTCCACAGAGAAGAATGAGAATAAAAGGTCATTTTGTATAGCAGAGCACAGACGATATTTCGTTCTAACTAACGTAAACCCAAACTTCAAAAAAGTAACAAACTATAAAAAAAAATAGTGACAAAAATGACCCAAAAGATTTCTTATAAATTCAAATGAGTAGTTTTTAGTTAGTCGGGTTTCAATAAATTTTTTTTCTTACAGTTGTTGGTTAATCGAACTAAGCAATTCCATAGTTTCCAAAGAAGCACCAGCTGCAGAAGGCATTTGGGCAGCCTCGACGCGTCTCAAACGTGATTTCTGTTTAAGTTGTATAAGATCATCGAAATAGCGTTGAATTGCTAGCATAAATCTCGGAAAAAGCTACAGAAATACATAAATTAATTTTAGTACTGTCCACAATAACTAAGAAATTCTGTCAAAAAGTGTAGAACTAAAAATAATAGTGCTAAAGTTACTAAAATAACAAGAAAATAAACTGCTACTACGTAATTGTCCAGTTA